GTGAGGTGAAACATATTGTGCACCTAATTCGTTGGAACTTGAAAGCTGTTATATGCCCTTGTGGCTGACTTGAACACGGGCCTGGAGTGGCACAACGCACGACTTCTAGGTTTTAGGAGCTGAATCCTGTTGTTTTACTAATTGTTTTGGTTTTCCTGTCTGTCATCAACTAGTCCCCCATTTGGTCCCTAATTTCCCCGCGTGCCTCTCCGTAATGTGTCGTGGGGTTTAGGTGTGTGCGCTGTTTTGGTTAGGTCCGTTTCGCCGTGTAGGTTGGTTCCGGAGGTCCGTCTGTTCCCCTCCCCCCCTGCGCTGTTTTTGGCCGTTTGCCCTTCGTGTGTCCGCTTTTTTCTTCCTCTTGCCTTTCAGGTTGACCCGGCTCTGGCCGGGTGTGTGTGTGTAACATCTAAATAGATGTAAAACTTCTCTCTTTTTCTTCCTTCTGTCCTCTCCCTTTTTAAATCTAGTGCAGGGGGGCAAGGCCTTCAGTGACTACCTTGCCCAACGAAGCTATGTCACTGAAGGGGAAGCAACGGGGGACGCCCAGTTGTGTACCTGCAGATAGTTTTTAACTGTTGAACACGCTGTCCACTACGTTGTTACAGTTTCAGCGGCAGAATTTTTGGTCATCAACATGACGATCCTATGTTTCATTTCTAGTCTGCATGTTACAGGATTCAGTTCCTGCCGGATCATATAATGATCCATTCTTGTCTAGTGTGATTCCTATGGTGACTCCGACATGGTGCCATAGGGCCAATTGAGGCAACCCTGTTCAGGGTGAGTGTCGACTGAATTGACTTCCGAATTAACACATTTTAATCTGGTAATTCGTTTAAGTAAAGTGCAACAGCTGGCCTTACCGTTCTGCACCTTTGACGAAGTCCTGCGGCTCCTGTGGTCCCAGGGATTCCTCGCCACAATGCCTGTCTACCAGAGCGAAGCCGTTCGGAACATTCAGGAACTATGTTTTTACTGCAGCTGACAGGATTCATGACATGCACAAATGAAGGCAACAGGCATGTCCTTTTCCTGCAGGTGTGGTCTCTTTGGTTTCTGGTGAGGTGAAACATATTGTGCACCTAATTCGTTGGAACTTGACAGCCGTTTTATGCCAATTGGGGCAAGGTTTGACCACGGGCCTGGAGTGGCACAACGCACGACCTATAGGTTTAGGAGCTGAATCCTGTTGTTTTACTAATTGTTTTGGTTTCCTTGTCTGTCATCAACTAGTCCCCCATTTGGTCCCTAATTTCCCCGCGTGCCTCTCCGTAATGTGTCGTGGGGTTTAGGTGTGTGCGCTGTTTTGGTTAGGTCCGTTTCGCCGTGTAGGTTGGTTCCGGAGGTCCGTCTGTTCCCCTCCCCCCCCTGCGCTGTTTTTGGCCGTTTGCCCTTCGTGTGTCCGCTTTTTTCTTCCTCTTGCCTTTCAGGGTTGACCCGGCTCTGGCCGGGTGTGTGTGTGTAACATCTACATAGATGTAAAACTTCTCTCTTTTTCTTCCTTCTGTCCTCTCCCTTTTTAAATCTAGTGCAGGGGGGCAAGGCCTTCAGTGACTACCTTGCCCAACGAAGCTATGTCACTGAAGGGGAAGCAACGGGGGACGCCCAGTTGTGTACCTGCAGATAGTTTTTAACTGTTGAACACGCTGTCCACTACGTTGTTGCAGTTTCAGCGGCAGAATTTTTGGTCATCAACATGACGATCCTATGTTTCATTTCTAGTCTGCATGTTACAGGATTCAGTTCCTGCCGGATCATATAATGATCCATTCTTGTCTAGTGTGTGTTTTTAATGACTTTCATGACCCGCTTAAGATGTACTGACTTCTTGATGGTCATGAGTTGTTGAAGTTGACTTAAAATATATATATATCTATATAAATATATTATATATATATTATATATATATAAGTCATTAATGCCAGCAAGGTGAAAACTGCGCTAGCGGTTGTAGGGCAGGGAGGTGGGGGTGGGGTGGGGGGGCTAATGACATTCTGTTGCCTTGCATCCTTTCCAACACGCTCTTGATGCTACGACATTTCATTCTGAAGTAACTTGCAGCACGCTCTTGACGCTGCGATCTTATCTTTCGCAAGTAACAACGCGTTTTTGCTACGATCTTATCTTTCTCAAGTAACTTTCAATAGGCTCTTGATGCTACGCTGTTTTCTTTCTCAAGTAACAACGCGCTTTTGATGCTACACTCTTAAATTTCTTCACTGGCTTCCAACACGCTCCTCTTGATGCCACGCTCTTTTCTTTCTCAAGTAATTTCCAGCGTTGGGACATGCTGGTTTGTACATGAAAGTCACGCAGCAAAGAAAAATAAAAGAAAAATAAAAAGGCATGCCGACCTTCATAATCATTCTTCCATGATGGAAAACAAAGTTAGTTCGTAAGGGCCTCAAAATGTGGAAAAACATGAATGTACTGTAATACGATGCAAATCTATTGATGACAATCCAAAAAAACGCGCGGGTTTCTACCAGCCCGACGCGTTCTAGAAGGGGATGGACGCTTGCAAAATCTATCCAAATCCGATAACTGTCAATGAGGAACCAAGATCCCCAGCATAGACTCTGTTCATTAAAGGTGGCAAGACTCTGTATTGCTGGTCCTTTGATATTGCGAGGTTGAGCCCGCGGAATCAGAAGACCGTGAAGAAGCAAGGCAATGTTGGTAATTTTTTCTGTTTTGTTCGATCGTTTGAGATCCATTTAATTGTCCTTTGCCAGTCGAACGTCTGTAATCTTGGCTTGCCTGGTTGCAGCTAAACAACCATGTCCGAGTCCAAACTAAACAATGGCAGCTTAACACGTTATTGCCTTCTTGCCATTGGTGTCCAGGCATGCTGGATGAATTCGTAGCCACAGCAACAGACTTAATGAAAGAAGATGGCCTCCTCCTCAGTGGATTAATGTGACACGATGTGACACGTTTTTGTTGGCTTTGGGTTTAACACATGGATTCACAGGGGTTCATCCGACATCTTTCGTTTTTGTCAGGTGCCCGTGCTCTGTACAAAGGGACAGGGGCGACACTCTTGGCCACCAGCGTGATGGGTTTCACCAGCTTCGGGCTCAATGAATTCTTCAGGCCATGCTGCAGTGCTGTTCAGCAAACGAGTTCAGAAAGAAAATCGCGGTGTCATGCCGTCATGCTGCGATTCACGGCTGGCAATCGCTGTGAACTATGCAACCCATGGGGTCACATGAGACCTTCGATTTGTTTTTTAAAACATTTTAATACCCTCTCTCTCTCTCTAACTCTGAGCAGGCGCAGCTTGGAGAAATGGAGCGGAGATCCCTTTGGTGAGGCAGGTGCCCCGATCGTTCTGGCTGCATCCATTTCATCCGTCTTTGTTTCAGCACCTGAGATGCACTTCCACTTGGTGTACTGCCAGACGCGTCATGGCACTCCCTTTTCTTTGCTTTTGACTTTGGACCAGACTTTGAGGCATCTTTTGGGATTGAGAATGGGAGGCAAGAAAGCACAAAGTGAGGAAGATGCAAGAATGATCAAGAATGATCAAGAATGTCATGCAGCTGAGACATGCTTAGACTAGAAGATCCAGAAGCTTCATGAAGCCTCGCGTGCTAAGATGTGCTAAGGCAATCCTCGCGTGTCCCTTTGAAACATTGCGAGTTCGTGTCATGGCGCCCACCGAGAAGCGCTCATTCCGAGAAATTGTAGGAGAAGCAGTTCTTGGGCGCACGGTTGGGATTTCCAGATTTTTCACAAGAAGTGACTTAAGTGACAAATGAATTTGATATTTTAATATAATTTGATAGGGTTCTTGCTCAGTTGACCAATTAGCATTTAGTCATGCTATTTACATCTATTATCTACTTATATAATTGTTGTTCTGACGTCAAATTGAATAATTATTTGTGTGTTAGGCAGAGCAGCGCGACTTTTGATCCATAAAGAGCCTGCGCAATCACAGGCAGTTGTTGCACTGATAAGAACAGATGCTTCACCTGTCCAGCAGTGATAAGAACTGATACTACATCTGTCCAGTTGTACATGCATGCACATGAACCCTTTTGCACTCCCCCCACGACTTCGTCGTGCTTAAAAGGGGGCTTCACCGGGAGGCTCATTAAGGATCGGCTAAGGGCTCAAGGCTCTTAAAGTTGGATTTGCCAGTGATGCCAGGTTGTTGCTAGGCCCCACTGGTCTTAAAATCACTACGGTGCATAAAGACTTGCACCTTCCATCAACCTTGGCATGTAAAGACTCACACCTTGGCTGACATCGTGGCAGTAAAGACTCTGCCAAAGGAAAAATGCCCGGCTCTCAAAAGAGCATCTTTTCAAAATTGCGCTCCACGTGGATCATGCCGTAGAGCTCGAAGTCACTGACTGGGCCGGTGAATCGGATCTCACCGTGACCCTATCGGCAGACTCGTCTCTCACCCTCGTGGCAGCTTTCGAAGTTGTCAAAGCCTTCGAAGTTGTAGAGGCCTTTGAAGTCGTAGAGGCCTCTGCAGGCTGCTCCCTTTGCAGTTCAGTTGTCATCCGTAGCATGTGCGCCAGTGTCTGACCTTCTACCATGCTTTGCTGCTGCGGCGGTTGCTGCACTGTCGCTATTGTCGGTGCTGCTTGTGCCGCTTGAGAGCCAAATGCCCGCGTCTGTGCCGCCATTGGAAAAGCCTTGGTTGGAGGTGGACCAGATGGAGGCGGTCCTGGTATCACTTGTTGCGGACCTGGTGGTCCCATCCTTGGCACTGCCACATAGGGATTATACATCCCACCTTCCTTGGCCACTGGAGGTGGCTTTGCCGGCGCAGCCATGCGGTTCATCCAATTCTGCATGCCCTGTCGTTGAAACCAAGCTGCTGGGGGAGGCTTTTTTCCAGGCTGAACCATTCCATGCTCAAAAGGAACTCCTGGGTCAGCCTCCTCTTCTTGTATGCTTTCTCTGGTCAGCCCACTCTTCGGCGCAGCCATAACTCTTCCTTGGAGCGCAAGTGAATGCGTCACTCCAGGAACCACTGGCCTGCGAAGCATCAAGCCCACCTGCGCAAAGTCCATCTCCACCTGCAACCCATTGAGCACACCATATCTGTAGGTCCGCATGGATCCAACCCAACTGGTTTGATCCCATTGAACCCAACGTCCGTACGTCAAAGGAATGGTCTGGCCCTGCATCAGCGCTGACATCACCTGCTGTACGTGCTGCGCTGGCGGTGCTGATGCCATGCCAAAACTTGCCTTTGCCCGCATCTGTTGCCCCAAACTTCCTGGGACCATTGGCGCCATCTCATGCTCTGGGTTGTTGCGCGTTCGCCTTGAAGGCAGCGCACTTTCCACCTCTGTGTCCTGCTCCACATTGACCTCTTCTTCAACGTTCTCTGGCTCTGCGTTGACCTCTTCCTCAACATTCACTGGGTCACCCGCAGTGGTCGAAGTGGTTGCCACCTCTATTGCTGTGGTGGCTGCTGGTGGGTCTGTAGCAGGCCCTTCGGCTCCACCATCATCACCTCCACCATCATCGCCATCGCCCTCGTCCTCTTCAGGGATGACCTCCATGTCATTCTCAGAGACCTCTTCCTCCGCAGTCTCGCCACCATCTTCATGCAAACCATCTGCAAAAGGCTCCAGGGCTTCACTGCCTTTAGCCTTACCCTTCGCTGCATAGTAAGCCTGTAGCTCTCCAGCGGTAGCAGGTTTGCCTTTTCCAAGTTGTGCCACGGAGATACGACTTCTGCCACTCCCCTTCCCAGCCCTGAACGTCAGCCGCATAGTCGACTGCAGCTGTAGCCGCTTGCACAGCCTGAGCCACCTCATTGGGGTCCTCGCTGTTCATGTTCGCATCATCGGCTGCTTGTAGCGCTTGAACAGCTCTTACATTGGCTGTGGCCAGGAGGATGTTGCGCCTTTGCTCACCCGGGGTATCACCTCTCCCCATCAGCACTGGAGCTGCTTGCGCTGACCCCTTTCCTGCTTGGTCACGCGTGAAGAGCTGACGTGGTCGACAGCCCTTGGCATATATCCTTTGCCAGGAAAGGTTTGGACTGAGCACTCCATGGATGATTGTTGACCCATCCTTGCCAGTCTCCACATCTTGCTTGGAGCCCCTGCCACGTCCCCGAAACCAGTATCCCGGGGGTCTAGCCCAAGCCATTCTTTGCCTCTTGACGTCCAGAGTTGTACAGGTCCTGCGTGGATGTTCTTCTTCATCCTCATCTTCATCGTTCGATGGAGGATCTGGCCCATGGTCTCGTTCTGGTTCACGTCGATTTCGACGATCTCGGCCTTGCCCTCTCGTTGCACTTGCCTTGCAGTCTGTGGGCGTTGCTCCTCATCTGCAACCTCGGAGACCAACTCATAACTCCCATCAGACTGCGTGTCATCCACCTGTTGCACAAGTGGTCTTGGAGGTCGCTCTTGAGGTTCAGGGTCTTGAAGACGTGGATCATAGTTGCGGATCGGCACGTACTCAAACCCAAAGCGACTACCTCTCATTGTCCTTGTCCCCATTGCTGCTTGTCCAAGTTGTTGAACTGGTCCAAGCGGCTTGGATTCTGTGTCAGCCCAAATGGCTGAGGTTGTAGGGCTCATCATTGCTACCCTACCACGTTCAGACACCTTGCCAGTGCCCTTCCCTTTTTGGTCAAGCTGACCATCCATCTGGCCTTGTTGGCCTTTGTAGTGGCCTCCTTGGCCCTTTCCATGGCCAGGCTGGCCATCATCATGGCCACGGTGGCCTTTGCCCTTAGTTGCCATAGAGGTCGGCAGTGCAGAAGTTCCCATTGCCGAACTCCCTGACGACCTCGCCGTGTTCTCCATGGCGTGTCGCCCGGCACCCAAAACCTCAGTTGGCGGCTCGAGCCCAAGGTCCTCAACAGAGAAGTCCTCGATCGGATCTTCTTCAAGTCCATGCACTTGCTCAGCACGACCAACCAAGTTGCAGCTGAAACCATGCCCATCCCCTTGGCGCCTCTTCGAAAGACCTCGTTGTTGACGTCTCTTCCCATGGCTTGCTTTGAGCGCCCGAAGTTGCGGCCCGTGGCAGCCCGAAGGGCGGTTGTCAGGGTTTTGAGATGATCTTTGTGGGGAGGAAACTTGATCCCTTTGAGGATAGTACTCAGCACTAAGACTACGCTCCATGTTCGAAACCCTAAAGTTTCTTTTCCCCTCCACATCGATCATCCCTTTTGGGGAAGGTTTCATGGCCTCCTTTTGGCTCTTGTTGGGCGGTTCATTTTCCCTGCCCTCTTCTTGCATGGTGGGTTCATTTGGGGCCCTCACCATGGTTTTCATCAACCTACGGGGTGGTTCATTTTCCCTACCCTCATGTCTCAACGCCGGTTCATTTGGTGCCCTGACGTTGGCCTCTTCCATGTCAGTTGGTTCATTTTCCCTAACTGACCATGGTGGGGAAGGTTCATTTTCCCTTTCCCTCTTTTTCATCATCCAACATGCAGCAACAATGAGGCCCAGGCCAGTTTCTTGACACTGAGAGTCAGCTGTCTCCATCAGCGTCTGGCCAGTTGAGAGAAGCCTCACTACTATCTCTTCTTCGGCTCTCAGCTCATCTTCTGCACGTCGTAGATCATTGAGATCGTCCAGGTAGATGGAGTCCACAAAGTTGTCCATCTTTGGTCCTTGAAGCGGTTTCGTCGCTCCATCAGCTGGAAGCACCAAGCCACTGACATGCCTCGCACACCATCGCGAGAGCTCATCTTGAAATGCTTCTCGAAGTCGAGCATACCTGATCCTCAGATGTCTTGTTCTCCAACTACCTGTGTCATTGGTGCACAAGTGAAGTGCACTTTTGGAATCGCAGTTGAGGGTCTTGTTGATGTCCCCAACGCCCATCACCTCCAGAAGTGCTGCAAGGCTTTCTCCACACTGGAAACCTTCTCCACAGCTCACCAGTTCGCTTTCGGCTGTTGAAGTGGTAACAAACGGCTGTCTGCCACTTGCCCATGCGATGGGAGAACCGCCAACACATAGTATCACCCCAGTCACCGACTTGTAGTTCTCGTGCTCCAGGGCGTGCGAAGCATCCACAAACACCTCCAAGTTGTTGATCGACACCTGCGTGGCCAGCTCATCATTGCGACCATACGGTTTTTGTGCTGAGGTCTTCATGTAGTGCAAACCCTTTGAACACGTCGCACTCAAGTACCTCAGTAACTCATCTCCAAGCTTGACCACATGTCTTGCTCGCCGGTGCGCAAGACGTGCCATGACACCAACATGATACACCATGTCAGGTCGTGTTCGGGTAACCAACCACTGCAGTTCCCCGATGACTTGTTGAGCTTGGCGAAGATCTCCCGTTTGCACCTCCTCAGTGTCGTCTTCGCCCAAGTTGGCAAACAAGTTCTTGACTGGCGCCATGCCAGCCTCCATGCCATGTCGTTTCAGGACGTCCTTGAGGTATCCACATTGATGTAGAAAGAACCCGTCCTTGACCTTGGCAATCTCGTATCCACAAAACTTCATTTGGTGGTCTTCAGTGACCATTTCCGGTGGGCTGCATGTCCACCTCCTTTGTACAGCTTCCAACATCGCATCGGCTTGTTCTTGTGGAGCTCCAACTAGAAAGTCA